CCTGAAAAATCAATAGACTCTAAAAGGTAGCCTAATCAAGTATTAGACCAAGACCCTGTATACGACAAGGTTACAGGCTCAAACATCAGTGTACACCAGAAAACAGACTATAAGAGGGACAGAAAGTTGATTATGATTTTTTTTTAATCAGAAAATTCACCTGGATCTTATGTTCAGTCAATGGCACATCAACTAGCAAATGTTTTCTGTGATATCATCTTAAGTCCATGAACTTTCAGAGTAAACAAATATAAGGTATAACAGAGAGTAGAAACACAAATGACAGATATAATTTCCTCCAGAAGTTGGAGAGCATACTATAGGGTCTTTTGTTACGTGCTCACATAAACTTTAATAAACCTGCACTCTCATTGTCAAAACTTTCATCACATAAATAGTTGAGATTATGTGTTCCCACGGTAATGTAATATGTACTAGCGGAGAAGTTAATAGTATTATGTGGTGTTGTTATTCTCTTCTGCATTATTATACTTTCCTTTCCATACGTGATTTTATTATGCTTTACTTGAGCCGAGGATCTATCAGAAACAACTCCTCTACCTTCACAAGGTAAGGTAAGGCTGCATACACACCACCCTCCCCAGACCCCACTTGTGGGATTAGTATTACACTGGGTATGTTGTTGTGTTATGGAGAAGTTAATAGAGTATTAGTAGCTGAATATGCAACTTCTTCAAGTTGAATGTCAATAAAAAGACCTGAGAGCCTAATGGCTGCTGCTCACTAGCTATAAAGGCGAAAAGAGGAAAGCAGGATGCCATCACAACGTTGTAATCCAATTATAGAATAGAAGAAACCATTAAAAGGAGAAAGCAAGTGTTCCAAATGATTATCATTTTTATTGATAAACATGTTGGTTGTGGCGCTTAAGATGGTAGTGATGTGCTTACCCCAGCCTGGGCATTATAAGGAATTACTAATAAATTAAACCAAAAGAAGAAAGGGAGATGGTTATAATTGACGTCGATCACGATTGTTTGAATAACGAAGAGGATGAGCCGATAAGGTCACAGACATTTGACACATCAACTCAGCAGACAGAAACAACAACAGCAGCATATCCAGTAAAACTGGTGATTTGTTTAAGAGAAAAGATGACAGACGGTTACACTGTTACTTATATCCAAGAGTGATGATAATGAGGAATTTTATACAGAGCAGTTAAGAATTACCTTTCTTAGTTGTTAGCGCAACTATAGTTTCCGACACATCCTCTAGAACACTGCAAAAATGTTTTGACATATAATTTTAGTTAAGAACTTTTAGATTCAGTTCCATAGTCTACATAAGAAACTAAAGAGAAAAGAATACCTGCCACCACTCCAGGGATCTAACAGGCCATTTGAGAATATGATGTTGCTCCCAAAAGCTTTTAGCGCACTCTTGAATGCCTTCAGCACAAGAAAGAAAGAGCAACTAACTCAAACAAGGGAGCTGAAAGAATATAAAAATCAAGAAACAAAGCAATTTAGAACCATTACTACACTCTAGATCCTGGATAACGTCCAACCACTGGAAATACCATTGAGATCCATATTCTATGCATCCTCCAAACAAGCAAATTTATTATACACTGGGTAATATAAATCTAAACGAACCATTTTAATCTTATTTTTAACTCTACACAAGGGTTATATAATTTCCATGGAACTCGTAAACGATATGCATAGCATTGACAAAGTTTTGCACAATGTCATACATGTCCACCAAATTCAGTTGTTATCCATGTCGGCCTGGGTTTGACATGAAAATCTTTCAAGCACTGCTCTTCATTCGACTTTGGATCATAATAGAACTCTGGAAACATACTAGTTGTCCTGTTACTTGCCATAGGCATAATCATCTCAGTGCATGCCTGCAGACATAGTATGAAAGATATAAGCAACCTAGTCGGGAGGAATTTCAATAGGAGCACATCCTTTTATGACTTAGGAACTCAAATTATGAGCAACTAAGCAAGAGCGTGTTTATTATCCTCACCATACCTGCCAATCCCAACCACTCATACCATGAGGATCATCGTTCAGATCGAAACAGTCAACTTTACCCGTGTAATTATAATAGATACTAATTCCTTCAAATATACGCTGCAACACACTAGCACCATCAGGCAAACTATCAATCTTCCTACATACCTGAAAGCAAAGGGGTTGGAAGGATATTATTCACAGGAAAGAAATTGCTCTACACAATTGACTACTTGTTGATCACCATGCAGGGAAAAGACATCTGTTATCTGCTACACAGTATCAATTGAGACCTAAATGCTTTTCCTCATAAAGACGGCTTCTGCATGATTTATTGTAATCTTGAAAATACAGGTATCTTTGCAGAGGTATAAGGTCCAGTGCTAACCTCTTTTATGGGGCTTCCAGGTAAAGGCATCAAGAAGTCAGTAGAATAGGGGTAGTTGACCATTGCCAAGTAACTATAGGCAGATTCTAACCAGTTAGACAAGCTGTCAACACTCTCCAGTTCCCTGCCACTCACAACGTCGGATCAAATTACCTCAACATGAAACTTGAAATTCCATAGGTCAATGACACAGTTAGCTAACAAGACAGCAAATGGTGGTGTCATAGGCATCTTACCTACAAATGTGGAACGTCTTTGTAAGTTGTGCAAGTCCACCATTTATCTGTCCCACCTTGTTAATCACATCCCAAGACTCTTTGATAGTGTTAAAGCAACTCATACTCTCGCGCTGCAGAAGGTGATACAGCAAGGATGTCATAAATGCTAAACTAGAGCTTTAGGAACGGAATTACAAGAATGAGATTAGTGAAGGATCCCTGTCCTAATTTGGGAAGGCAAAAATCTGGATCCAGTCAGTCAAATGTGATTGGATTTTCGGCCAAGTCCATACAAGATTCAATTTATGGGGTTGGGATTGATATTTATGTGAATTAAGTATTAGTCATGAAGTGGATGGTGTAACACTTTGCAGTGATTTGTAAATCTATTTTATAGTTTATGAATTACAATGCATACTATAGTTTTATACATTAAACATTTACATAGGTTAATGTGCTCTAAATCTGAATTATAGGTAAACTTTTCTAACTAGGATCAATTTAAGTCCTACTTATCTCCAAATTTTAGGCATATATGATTTGATGGCATAATACTCTTCAATTGCACAAAAGTTGTCCAGAGAACTAATAAGAGTTGTGCCTGCCATCCAATTTTTGATGCACGGCAAGTTCACTCTACCACTCTATAAATGGACGCCAAATAAGTGACTTCACTTCAACAAATTCAAATCAAAGAAATGAAGTAGACCAAACCTATCAAGATTCCCATCTCCCCCAACCCCCCCAAAAAAAATTAAAAAATCTGATCCTACTCTGAAAATTTCCCAAACAGCCACTAGTTAATTAAAATGTCACTAGAGATAGAAATTCAGTCTTACAGACCCTAAAACCATCGGATACAATGCTATAAAAGGTTTCAGGTGGCACAAGATCTTCAAACTGAAGAACTGGCGCAGAAGAAGCAAGTGCACCAATGGAAATATGGGGATATTTGAGCCTCATCCATGCTGCAAGCACTGTTTCAAACACAATAAAATAGAGAACCTCTGAGTGAAGCACAACTCATAATATTGATTAAAAACAAGTACCCAGAACACCTACTAGCAGAGTTAAAATTACTGATGTACTAAACTACTGAATGCTACATTACTTACTTCCACCATATGATCCACCAAATAACACAACAGGGCATGCCTGTGCAGATAAATTTCTTTTAAGCTCAGTGATTAACACAGCATAATCAGCCAGTGCTTGTTCAGCTGTTAGATACGACAAAGAAGTAGCATTCTTATATGCTTCTTCCTTACTTCCATACGGCATTGACTCCCCATAGTATCGATGCTGCAAAAATCAAATTGTAATAATTTTCAATGAAATAACAATGTAAGTAAATTCTTGAATAACAACTAGTCTACAATGTTGAGGAGAAATGTACTATATTTTCTCCATTAAGCGTCTAATGATCTTATTGGCTTTCTGATTCATTTAATTACATCTCCTTTTGTGAAGTCTTAACTACAAAGCCTGCACTTTTTCCCAAAAATCTTGCCATTTAACAGCATGTGTAGCTTCTATTTCTTATCAATTTCTGATATATGATATATTTTTCCACACTCAACATAAGTTATCCCTAGGCTAATGTTCAGAGAAATTTATCATTATGAGGCTTGTTCTGAAGCTATTTAAGAAACTTTAATTGCAAACAACAAAGATGGAAACTTTATGAGGAAAAATAAGAAGAATGAAAAGTATTTCACCTCGGGGAATATGACCATGGCGCCGAAACGAGGGGCAATTTCCCAGACGAAACCTGTATTGGCAGCAAACCATTCTATATCACCTTCATTTCCACAGTAGAGGAAAATAGGGGCCGAGCGAGAGGGACCCTCCCAGTGTTGGGTATTGATTAGGTAACGCTGTGAAAACGAAGGTAGATCAGCGAAGCTGAAGTGATCGAGCTTCTGCTGGAAATATTTGGTCTCATACTGGTATTTTGGGGCTCGAAGTGAAAGTGTTCTGCTTGAACTCCAGAAATTGCCGAGATAGCGAGCACCATTCAGTTGAATAGCCGATGCTTGACATAAAAATGAGACAATCAGTATAAGAATAGAGTAGAGAAATGGCGAAGGAGTTGACATTTTTGCTGGAGGTTTTGTTTTCGGAGATGCTGCAAACTCCAAAACCATCTTGAGTTATTTGTCGCACTAACTTTTAACTTTATATTCCACTAACACTCGTTGGTTCTGGTTTGATCATTTTTACGTGATGATGTCCCATGGCATTAGGGTTTTAAAAAGATATTTTTAATAACTACTCTATTTAATTTCAACTTACCTATAACATAATTAAAAAAATAATACTTACACTTATCTTAAAATCATAAAATTCAAGAAACTTCCTACTCTTTCTAGACAAAGGACAACCGACGGCACGATTTACCTGCTATAGAGCCCATACGCTTACAAAGGGAGAGCGATTGTCAAAGCTCCCTGTTTACAATGGATGAGAGCTTCAGAGTACGGGTGGACAAAGTGTTCGGGTCTCTGACGGAGACCTCCAATTTGAGTTCACTCTGGTGTTTAACCGACGATGAAATTGAGAAAAGGGAATGGAATAGGGATACCCCATCCCGCGACCTACTCGACTTTGATTCCAAACCCTGCCCTCCCCATATTGACGGCTTCTTCTCCAAGTCCCCCCAAACCCTAGATTTTCCCAAACAGCTCCACTCCGATCTGGAACAGCTCAGCGACGGCCAAGAACCAGATGATGCGGATATCCGGGCCGGCATTGGTTTAGATTGCACCCTTGACTATGAGGTAATTATTTGGTTTCCCTCTTTTATCCGTTTCCTCTAATGAGAAATTGTGCATTTTGTGTAGTCTTACGACTCTTCATTTTTGAATTTTTTTGTAATTTACATATCAGGAGGAAGAAGACGAGTTTGACAAAGTGGCCCTCGATACGGAAAAGGAGAAGCAGCAGCCTAGTGACCGCTTGTACACGCGGGAGGTTTCTGACTACGGAATTTCTGCAGACACAGACCATGAGCTTCCTCTTACTCTCCATGACATTACGAGAGATCCTCGTGCTAATCACGAGGCCGCCAAGCTCAGACTCAAGGAAGATGCGGAGGCTGCCCTGAGAGAAGGTCATTTAGGTTCCAAGCCACCTACTGTGTACAAGACTCAAGGTCAGAATGATGCACATTCTCCTAAAAAACTCAAGTTCAAGGAAGATTATAACTTGGTCCCTATTTCATCCATTCCAGATTATGTAAGGAATCCATCCAAGTATACTTGCTATACACTTGATGTCTCGGATGATATGGATGAAGAATCCAATAGAAAAGCTTACATGGACTTTCTCAGTCTAATGAAGAAGGGATCGCACGTGTATAATGATAGCTCCACTATTTTTGAGAAATCGCCCACATTTAACCTGAGAATGAAGCAGCCTGTTGTTACCTTCAACAAACAGGGCGTTAAGGCAGAGCAAATGCAAGTGAAAAAAACAGTTCCCCTTAGTATTGTTACCATGGAATCCGATAATGCTGCCATGGAAGAAGATGAATCGTCTATTGCAGCCGATAGAGCTAGACCTGGAAGTTTGCATAAGCCTGGCAAACGTTATAGAACTAGGGCCACTATGATGGATACTGATGACTGAAATGTTTGTGTGATTCCTTTTGAAAATAGTTTTCTTGTGCTCTTTCTTCTTTTCTTTTTGAAATAGTCTTCTCATACAATGTTTGATCTCAAATCATCATGAACTTGCATTGCTTGAGCACGCAACTTTAAAGAGAATTAAGCTTGCCTGACTTCCCTCTCTGATTTTTTTATGTCGATTTCTGTCACTTATTCGAAATCTTTTGGCAGAAGGTTTTATGTTCATTGGATTGTAGACCAGAATGTAACTTATTGCGTATGGCAATACAAACTGGTATAATCTTAACATCCTCTAATGTCTTCAATGGATCAATTTGAGCAAGAATCACCCCCCTCTCGGTGTCAAGTAGTTCCCATTGTTTCTCTAATTTCAGCCTTTCCACCTAAGTTCTTCAATAGTACAATATCATTTAGCTCTGTGCACTCTTCTCTCTCGATACAAATTGATCTCTTTTGTCTGAGCATCTAGTTTCTTCAACACTAAGCCAACATGCTCCAATTCCTTTTCCATAGTCTCCCTGAGAGGTGCAATATCCCGAAGCTCTTTTCTTATGTTCATCTTATGGCTTTCACTTTTCTCCTTTAGGTTAATTTCTACTTCATGTCTTTTTTCAATGCGTTTCTCTAGTGCCTTTTTGCATCTCAACATCCAGCTAAAAGTTATCGCGTTGTTTCTGAATTTTGCTAAATAGACCCGCACGTTTACTCTCAATCTCATACATGAAGGTTTCACGATCACAGGGAAGTGATTTTGGATTTTGCTTATATCCTTGTTGCATTGCATTTTTCTCTGCTTTCAGGGTTGTCACAACTATCCTTAAGAGCTTAGAAATGGCCAATTTCTCTTCAACCACACGTTCCAGCTTCCTTCTGCAACTCTTCTCTATTCTCATTGATTACCTCCCATTCAGTCAGTCTCAAATTTAGCTTTCAACCAGAATCAATAACTTTTGAGTTTCATTTTTCAAAGCCTCCACTTTTTCTTCCTCATGGGTGACGCATTTTTTAATTTTTTTCATCCAGCATTTTCAAGATCATTTCTCATTTTGTTGTTTCTGTCCCCTTCCTTGCCGCACAACTGTTCTCTGCAACTCTCAAATCTCTGAACACCTTTTCAGCAGCTTGGAGGTTTCTTTCATTTTCCTCAATTACATGCACCCTGTCTCCTTCGCAGATAGTGTCCTTGTCAGTAATTAGGTCCTCCCGGTACTTAATATTCACATCTATCAACTCCTAAGACTGCCTCTTGTTCTAGAAATTATTGTCCAACCATACAAAGAAACATATACACATTGAGGTCCAAGCTATTTTATGCATTGAACATCTGTAAAGAACTCTCAAGTTGTTGGTAAAACCCATTATTTTCCTACATGCCTAGACATTATTTGGTTGAAGTTGTAGAAATGAATCTTTGGATTTTATAGTTCAAAAAGAATGTATTTGTCATTTGCAAAGATTAGCTATGTGAGTACATCCATCCAAAGGGGCGGTAAGCAGGAAGTGACCTGAAAAATAAATAGACCTTAAAGAGTAACCTAATCAAGTAGTATTAGAACCAATGCTCTGTATAAATGCCTACTTGAATTGCCACATCAAACGTACTGCCTATCTTTACTGAAAAATATATTGATAAGGGATCGGATACTGTTAAACTCCAATACCATCTTGAGTTCTTTTTTGCACTAACACATGTTGGTTTGCTTTGATCATTCTTCTATGGTGATGATGTTATAGGCCCATAACAATATGTTTTGGCATAACAGGTTTCCGATGTAAAACTTGAAACCCAACCGTTATGTCTTTGAATATTTATTTGATATTGTATTGTTTCAGAGATTAAAGTAATAATTGAATAATTAGTTTTAGAGAAAAAAAAAACATCACTTTAAATTCTTACTTTTTTTTCTTCGAAAATTGGAAAAACAGTGAATTGGGTCACGCTAAAGTTGGTGGACATTAGTCTCTGTTCCATTCCCAAAAGGTTGCTGGGCTTCCTGTAAATGAACTCCTTGTCCAGCAAAAATGAGTGAGTTCTGGGCCGTTTGATTTGGTCCCAACGTAACGAAACACATTATGTCCGCAACAACGGTTGTTGGTCAATCTGTTTACAAAACAATAGTACTAATAGAAAAAAATGTTGAAAACTTTTCCGTTACATCTTACAAGGTATAATTTACTTCAGTGCAATAAAATAAAAATCCAATGTCCATCGCAAAATTACACCTGTTACAATGATTGTTATGAGCACGAATTCATCTTTAGAGAAATGAATGAGCAATTGAAATCCTTTTTTTCTACAACAATATTCGAGTGCCAGAGCGTCAATAATTATCAATGAAAAGCGATTTATTCCATGGTTATGGACTTCACAAGCCCCAGCCAGCATCATATCCAAAAAGAAAGAAGAGAACAAACAAACAGAACAGAATCCCCCACAGGAGGAACACTGTAAAGTATTCTAGATATAACTTATTTCCTTTCTTTTCATCTTAAATAATTTGTCCTGTTTCTCTTTTTATACTCCCCTTCAAGAAAATATATTAATTAGAAGAGACTTTTAACTATTTGTGTCTTACGATCATTGAATACTTACTCTATTTATGTGTCATCTTATTGAGGTGTTTGTAGCCTTAAAACAATTACAAGGGTAAAATGAGGAAAAATTGATGTCTTGAACTTCTAATATTACAAATGATTTGAGATGACTATTCTTGAAAAGGGAATGTATTATCGTTTCTCTCAAAATATTACTACTGTAAGTAATTATTGAAGTTTGATCACCTATAACATCTTCTGTCCTTTGTTTCCTCCACATCGCCACGAAACTACAATTGTTTGGGTTAATATCTCCAATGTAAGTACTGGCAATTACCTAATCTAATAGAGGTTAATGCAAAAAGAGATTGGAGCAGTTGAACAACTATATTTAAATATTTACTGGAGTGTAATTAAATAAAGAATCCATTAAGAAAAGCCCCCCCAAAATATTCCATCTTCAAATGACATGGACACACGTGGAGAACACAATAGGAGACAAGTTGTCATAACTAACTTTGTGCCACAATTGGAGCCGGCAAACCCTCAATTGTGTTTTTTCGCACAAACAACCACTTCGTTTGGTTAGGACCCTCCACACCCTTAGGGGTTGCGTTTGGTTTTGTTAAAAAATTGTTACTACAAATAATTGTATAACCAACTTCAGAATTGCTTATATTGAAAACAATAGCTCAACTAAAGTAATTTTCATTTATTGTTTTAGGTATTATGATTATGCAAAGGGATCCTAATAATTAAATTGAGGCCCACTTTGTTATGATGGATGACGAGAAAGTTAGTCAGGTAAGTGGGGTTATGACATGGCGAAGAACCCTTATTGGAAAATGAAAACAAGAAATAGGTTTTACTTTTACCTTTTCCAACATTTAAACGCAAGCAACTGAAATCCTAATCCATCAAACAAGTCTTTTGTTAGAAAACTACTAAAAAAGACATAATTAAAAGTCTTATACAAGTCCTTGCAATAAAAAAGAAAATCATTTTAAAAGTGTTATCTTCAAAAATAGATATTTCAGATCTCATCAAACTCTAATATAAAAATCATATATTATTTATTATATAAAGTAGGGTAAAGATAAGGAAGGTCGTCCCTTGCTTTTGTGAAAGTCGGTGGAAAATTCATTTTCTTTTATCTTTTGCCCTTTTGTTGAAAAAGATGAAACCCCGACAAGTCACTAAGTCCTACTTTCTTACTTGGACTCTTGTCCTCACGTTAGACCACATCATCCTTTTTTATACTTCCCATTTTGCCATCCACACCCTATGAAATTTAATATTTTCTACTTATTTAAATCTATCATGTATGTATTCTAGACTATGTATTAATTTATTACAAAGATAAGTCAAACCTGCAAATATTTATTAGATCCGCCTTACTGTACTTTCTGTTGTTTAATTTTATTTTTTCCGACAGGATTTATAAATTTAAGAACAATACAACAGTATAGTAATATATTTGCTGAGATTTAAAACACACAGAATCGGTGAAAAATAAATTGCAACTTCTATTTTGTATAAAAAGAAAATGTTTGTAATTTATCACTTCATTAGATGATTATCTCTCATTCTATTCAACTCTTTGACCACATTATATATTGTACTTTTATACAGACAAAGTATCAGACACTTAATGCACATAAATTATTAATTTTGCTCCTGTAGTCATAGCTTTTCATGCTCCATTATAGTGTAAGTATAAAAGTACACTTCAAACCAACATGGTGGATTGTCATTAAGTAGGACTACCTCTAAATAACCTCTGTTTAATATTGGCATATATATCCTCATTTCCAACATCAGCACACATAGCAATATTCCCTTCCAATAAATCAAATCTTTTTAGTCTATAAAGGAATCAATAATAGTCTATAAAGGAATCAACAATAGTTACCATATAGGAAATTTAGAGAATCTCAACTATATCTTTTTCCTTTTGTTCTTTCACTATGGAAAACATGAAATCAGTTACGGTATTTATCAGTAATTTATAATTATTTCGTCGTTAAAAAGTTCTTAACTAATTGAGTTTATTTTATAATTCATAACTAAATAAAATTTTAATTATTTAGCTACGAAATATTATTTGTCGCTACTTTCTTAATTTCTAGTAGTTTTTCTTGATAAGGAGTGATAACTTCCCTACCCTCTAAACAGACTATATTTGCCTCACTGTGTGATCGGCTCATACAAGTACTGTCTTAACAAAAAAAAATTATGTCTACTTATAACACTTCCTTTATTGAAATTAACATCAAATTTTAGTTGTTCAGATTGATATTCAACTTTTTTCTGATTGTCTTTGCACTATATCTCTTCGTTTTTGTTTTTTTTTTACGATGAATATGTAATACACTTTAAAATATTTAAATTAACTAATATCGTTTTTTTCTCTCAACTGATTGAACGTTAAAGTGTTTAATATCTAGAGTAATGTAATTATAAATACATAAGAA